AGATTTTTTTTTTTCTTAAAAGGAAATGAAAATATATAATGTAATTAATAGTATGAATGAAATATGCAAGAATATTTTTCGATTTTATATATTAAAATTAAAAAATATGATTAACGTGTGATTCAATTTCGATCAAGTTTCGAGCAAATAAAGTTGACCATCTTATATTACTCTTTATATGCTATAAGTAATAAAATCGAATATTGATTTTTAAAATTTAAAAGAAATTAGAAATATAATTGAAATATAAATGAAATAGAATAATAAGAAAGGAGTATTGTTTTAATAAACAATAATTTGTGATTTTTCAATCGTCTAAGATTGGATAAAATAAAAAATAAAAAATTACTGGCTCGTTAAGGAGAGAATAAGGATCAGTTGTTTAATGCCAAGTGCACTTCGAGCTGAAAGACGCCCTAGACTTTTTTTTTATTAAGACAATGCATCGCTGTTGCATGTAGAACTGTTGCTTTGTCCTCGATGTTTTAGAAATTGCCGGTAAACAAGGAGAATATACGAAATGCTACAATTTTAATTAGTTTATCTAATCCATAATCTAAGAGATTATTGAATGAATCAGTAGAAATCTCTAATTGTATAAAATATTAAATATCGAAATTAAAACGAAAAATCACCGCCCAATATTATCGCGAGAATACTATCTTTTACGGTTTATAGATAATTTATTGACAGGAAACAGTCGCGATATGAAATTCCATAGTGCTTAGTTAATACCATCAAACGAATTGATTGTGAACAAATTACATTCACTATAATCACTTTTTAACAAAATTATATACTTAAAATTATTCTTCAAGTAGTACATTAAACAAAACTATCCGCTAAAATAATTTTCGTTCATCTTGTAAGTTTGGACATGGATATACATGATTAACATTGTCTTTTATTCCTGGAAATTAAATTCGCCTTCTAAAGTTATTTAAGAAAAATTCTACATAAATTACCTATTCTCAATGGACAATGAGAATCAACTTACTCGAATGGCATTTTTCAGCTTGTCCGATTCCTGACGTAGGGATTCGAGCTCGCTGCTCATGATGCCTGTCTAATGATGCGCTAAGCGTGACTACCCGTGAAGGGTGGAAAAGGGAGGTTCTCGAGGAGGAGGTGGTACACCTCCAACAAAGCCTAAAATGTGATTTTTCAGGAATGGATTAATCCTATTTCGTATGCCTTCTTGCTCGAAGGTGATTGGGGCCCAGTGTCACGCCGTCGACGCTTTCTTCGATGGCAGATAGACGCTCTCGAATTTTCCACCACCAGGGATGGGAAAGGTTGAAAATAGAAGACGATCGAATTTCCTTCTCCAGCGGGTCGCACCAGCCTTTTCCAGTCGTTCTCTCTGATCTGTTGCTGTCGCGGCTTCCGTTTCCGCCGCTACCACCGGAACCAGAGCCAGACCACCGCTGACTCTCCCGCCCCACGCGCCAGCTTCGATACCTCCTAGCGAGACCGTTGCCACCCCTGAAAGCAGAATCACAGAAATTGCTCGTAATTGCTTCTAGAATTTTTTTTCTCTTTAAATCAAACAGCTTAGGACAAGAGTTTTTCAGAGGTTAAAGAATTGATTGACTTAAGCTTATTGGATCAAATGATGATTCATAAGAATAGATTTACGATTAATCATTTGGATAACCGAGTAACATAAAAGAATATAAGATAAAATGGATTTTAATAGTACTCACTTAACTTTGAGTTGAAAGATATCAAGATAATGATCAAAAGATTTCAATATTGAATAGTAATATTGAGTAAAATTCTGATATATTTATATTAATTTTATATTTTATACTATTATTAGAAATACACAATCAATTTTGATTATTCTATTTTTATTTAACCTACATATTGTGTTAATATATTTTTTTATTTGTATATTAATAATTAGTATATATAATATTAATAATTATTAATAGTGTCATTAAACATTAATTGTTGAATAGTGTTCTAAATTTATGTAAATTGTTTCATCTTTTCTTTCTAAATCTAATGTTGATATTTATATTTTCATTAATATCAGAAAAAAGTTGTTTTGTGAAACATGTACGCAAAGAGCGTCGTATTACATGTTTTAGGTGCTATTTTTAACTAACGAACCAACCGTCTGGACCAAAATAATGTACCAACTTCTGGAAAATCTAAATAATTTAAAAGGGTTCATACTTCCTGTTCTTCTTTCCACATATTTTCTTTGACTTCTAGTCAATCTTTAACATAACACTCATTCAATGTGAACAGCAATCTCACCAACATCTTAACTTTTTAAGCTACATTGAAATTTCGTGGCAACGAGTGTCCTTCACCTCCAAAAGGTCTCACAACCCGGGGAACCTAAGGGTTGTCGATCCAACGCAAGGTGTTCTCATTTTCCGGAACCGATAAAATCATTTGGCGCATGAGCAAACATCGTGAAACGAAATATAATACTGGATGTCTAAAAGAAAGAAAAAAAAAAGGAAAGGAAAAAAAAAAGAAAAAAAAGAAAAAAGAAGAAAAAACTCGTAAAAAGGAAGAAACCTTGATGAACTCTTCCTTCGATCTTTAATAATCTTCCAAAAATAAAAAAATCTTTTCTAATAAATTTTTTGAAATAACTTGACTAACATTCTTTGCTATAATTCATTTTTTTCAATCACTATATCTTTAGATTAATAAAAAATGTATAAAATTTTTGATAGATACACCAAATTATACGAAAAACACCCATAAGATCCAGCAGCACTCACCCGCTCCGTCCGCCTTCCACTTCTGTCAGAGCGTCATGAATCCCGAACAAACATAACCTCTCTGCGTGAAAGGTTCGTGCAGAGAGTAAAGGGTGGCCTCTCTGAACCCGTTGTCTACCGCCAGATTGCGCCGTCGATGGAACGTTAGCAACTAGCAGAAGCGTCCAAGAGAAAACCGGAAGAAAGAGCACTTTTCTAGCAGGAATCGAACACAGGTACGCACACGCACAAGAAGCGGTCAAATGCGGCCATTGGTGGTGCTAGCTTTCTTTTCATGCCGCGTTCACAGAACCGTGGAAGCGACGAATCGATGAAGAGTCGTGGCTCGCCCCACTAGTCTATCTCTCTCTTTCACTCACGCGCTTTCACCCTCTCCTTTTCTCCCTTAAACTTCTCCCTCTATCGTTCGCTATCCCACACTATCCTTCTTCGTCTGTTGTATGCACGCTCGGTAAAAGAGCACATACACGAATATGTATCTTCAATGTGTATCTTCCTGAATGATTCGAAAACTGGATAAAAAGCTTGAGATTTGTATAAAGAGAAGATTGAAGGTACAATGAAAACTGAACACAAACTTCGAGACACAGTTTCGAACCACACCCAGGGAGGACGTGGTTTCGAGAGAAGACCGCCTGGGCAGATGAAACGGACAGAGGGAAGGGATGAGCGACGCTGGCGCCACGGCGCCCGTATACCGACTGACTACCGGCGTCGCCACGACGCCATTGTCGGTCGTGTGACAGGTTGCCGTTGGCGGTAGCATGTTCAGAGATTGTATTAATCGTTGTTTAACACGATCCTAGAAAAGACTTGGTTGTGATCGATTCGAACAGGGAGGGATTAACGTGGTTAGTTTCTTGGAAAATAAATGCAGAATCGAAGGTATATGTTCTAAATATTTGGTCATCTTGGTCTTCCAGATAACCCTGGAACTATTTTAAGAAATATACATTTGCTAGCATTCAGGAAATTATATAGGTTATTTGTTATTTGAAAATTTCGCTGAATCATAGAAATGAATATTTTTATTTCCTTATTTTATATATCTAATAGTAGAAACTTTTTTTTTTTGATTAATCATTTTTTGCTGCTATTTTTGTTAATTGTATTATATACTATTGAATTTTCTGCAAAATTAAATTTTATTTATAATCGTATAATTTTTTTTAATCAAAATATATTATACTCAAAATTATAAGATATAATATCATTTTATTTTGGATTATATTAAATCTTGGAAGATATACGAGAAACTTTCGTTGCCAAACAAAATTAGATAGCAAGCAATTTGAAATGTTATCTAGTATTCGAAGTATCATTGGTCCTTGTAGTACGCCAAGTGCTATAATATTCTATTAATCTTCGAGAAGTTGATATTACGTGTCAACCATTGCCTACGAACGATAGAATAAAATACTTAATACTATATACGATATATATATATATAACCACATCTATATTATCGCAAAGTTGCAACTACGTTACACAATTCTAATAATCCTCATGCAACTAGAACAGATCGCAGTAAGAATGCTTAATTAACGATCCAGAACATCTTTGTTAAATGCAACAGAGAAAACCTCAAGTCTATCACGTTCGACCTATATTCCTCTTAATCTTATCAAGGAATAAGCAACCAACATTTTTCTCTATACTGTAATATCCGTATGGATCGTCTGGCTTTGTCATTCTTCAGACATTCAACTCATCGGTGGGGGAGGTTGGTTAGACCTATCTAACAGAAGAGTTTTCTATCATAGGGATCCCCAGGCCTTTCTACATGCGTTCCCGGATGCACGAATGGGAGCAACAGTTGAACCACGCGGGTCAACGTCCAATACGATCTCTCTCTCTCTCTCTCTCTCTC